TCTTTCACATAGAACACCTGACTCACATCGGCAGCAAGGACGAATGGTTCCTCTTTGTACCCAATATTGTTGAGGTCCACTGTTGTCATTCCATACTCTTTGTCGACTGTTACCCCTCCTCCGGTCAGCTTCACCCATTGGCACAAGAACAAAGGGACTTTAAAATTAGGTGCATAGTCTAGTTCCCATATCTCTTCTATGCGGCCATAATATGTTTGTATATTCCCATTTGGATCTGTGCCATCTATGCGAACACCACTATTTTGATTGGTGCTCCTTTTATCTTGGGCAACTGTGTAAAATGTATTCCTATTTATCTCGTACTCTTGGTACGTGAGGATATGCCACGATGGCTGCCTAGCCAACAAATACAGTTGCTCATCAATATTGTCATCGCCTTGACATTCTTTTCGCAACCAACCACTGAAACTTTCCATGTGCTGACGCCTAATCCAAGCTTCAGTCTTCCCTGGAAAGTTGGATCGTAAGAACTCCTTATGTATCTTGATGTACGGATGCACCAATGACGAGTTCTGAAGAACTGTGTAGTGTGCTTTATTGAAATAATCGTCTTCCATGCCGATATATGTTTTCTTTCCTAAAGTTCCTTTACCACTGAGTCTTCCCTTGTGTCGTGATTCGGGAACGCCAATCGGGGCAAGGTCAGGAATAAAGTCAACACAGAACTCAATGACCTCCTCTGTTCCATAGCCCTGGGTGATGCTTCCTTCAGGCTTAGAACGGACTTTCACATATTTCTTCAAGACTCCCATAAACCTCTCGAAGGGAAACATGTTATGTAAGAACACAGGTCCAAGAATACTAATCTCCTTCACCAAATGAACTAGGATGTGTGTCATGATATTAAAGAAGGATGGAGGGAACACCAACTCAAAGCTGACAAGACATTAAACCACATCATTCTGTAGAGTAGCTAGTTCCATTGGATTGATTGCCTTCTGAGAAATTGCATTAAGGAATACACATAGCTTCATGGTGGCTAGACGTACATGTGGAGGTAGAATTCCTCTTAAAGCAACTGGAAGCAATTGCGTCATAAGCACGTGGCAGTCGTGGGACTTTAAGTTTAGGAATTTCTTATCTGGCACATTTATTATACCCTTTATATTGGAGGAGAATCCCGATGGGACCTTGATGCTGCTTAAACATTCGAACATGATGTCCCTCTCTTCTTTGCTAAGCGTGTAGCTAGTAGGACTTAAGTAATAACGTTCATCATCTGTCTTCTCTAGATGAAGGTTGTCTCTTTCTTTCATGCCCTACAAGTCCTCGCGTGCTTCAAGTGAATCCTTTGCCTTCCCATACACATCCATGAATCCTAACAGGTTCACACAAAGATTCTTTGTCAGGTGCATCACGTCGATTGCGTTGTGGACCTCTAGGACTTGCCAATAGGGTAGCTCCCAAAAGATAGACTTCTTCTTCCACATGGGTGCGTATCCCTTAGCATCTTTGAGAATAGATTCACTGCCTTGTCCCTTTCCAAATACTACTTTCACATCCTTGACCATTGCGAGTACATCTTCCCCGGTTCGGTTATGAGGCTTCTTCCGGTGGTCTGGCTTACCTTTAAAATGCTTCCCTTTCTTTCTTACTTGGTGATTCAAAGGAAGGAATCGATGATGGCCAAGGTACATGACCTTTCGACATCTTTTCAAATATATACTGTCAGGGTCATCAAAACAATGTGTGCATGCATTATATCATTTGTTTGTCTGACCTGAAAGATTACTTAAAGCAGGCCAATCATTGATTGTTACGAACAACATTGCTCGTAGGTCAAAGTGTTCTTGTTTGTACTCATCTCAGACACGTACACCTGGTTTGTTCCATAAAACTAGAAGTTCTTTAACTAATGGCTTCAGATAGACATCAATATCGTTGCCAGGTTGCCTCTGACCTTGGATGAGGATCGACATCATAATGAACTTCTGCTTCATGCATAACCATGGAGGAAGGTTGTAGATACATAGAGTAACTGGCCAAGTGCTATGACTAGTGCTCTGCTCTCCAAAAGGATTCATACCATCTGTACTTAAGGCGAACCTTAAGTTTCTAGCCTCATTTGCAAACTCTGGAAATTCCCTGTCTATCGCTCTCCACTGGGACCCATCAGCTGGGTGTCTCAGCATATTGTCTACCTTACGGTCTTCTTTATACCACCGCAACAACTTTGCATGGTCTTTATTTCTGAACAAACGTTTTAAGCGTGGTATTATAGGAGCATACCACATAACATTGGCATGGATTTTCTTTCTAGGACGTTGTTCACCCTCGACGTCACCAGGATCATCGTGCCTGATCTTATACCGCGATGCTTTACATACCGGGTATTCATCCAAATTCTCGTATTCATTGCCATGGTAGAGGATGCAGTCATTAGGACATGCATGTATCTTCTGGATTTTTAATCCCAAAGGGAAGACAACCTTTTTTGCTTCGTATGTAGTGGTAGGCAATTCATTTGGCTTCGGAAGCATCTTCTTTATGAGGTTCAATAAATTCCCAAATGCCTTGTCGGATACACCATTCTTTGCCTTTCACTGTAGCAATTCCAGTGTTGTACCCAGCTTTTTTTGCCCCTCTTCGACCGTCGGGTATAGCAACTTCCTATGATCCTCAAGCATGCGCTCGAACTTAACTTTCTCTTTTTCACTTTCCCATTCTTGTTGTGCATCACGAATGGCATCGCCAAGAGCATCACTGAGATCATCTTCTACCGCTACCTCTTCTTCATCTCCCCCCATTGTAGTATCATCAAAGGCACCATACTGAGCAATAATGTCATCAATGTCTAAATCTTCTCCTTCACCTTCTTCCATCATGACCCCGCTTTCTCCATGCTTAGTCCAACATATATAGTTTGACATTAAACCTGACTTAAGCAAATGTGAATGAAGACTCATTGAGCTTGAATATTCCTTTAAATTTTTACATAGGGCATATGGACAGCACATGAAACCATCCCGTTTATTTGCCTCGGCCACACCTAAGAAATAGTGCAAGCCCTCAATAAAGTCTTGGGAGCGGCGATCGGCATTGTACATCCAATGGCGTGACATAATCTGTATTACACGACAAATTATGAAAACCTTGAACATAATTAAGTATTTTATTACACAACATAGATGACACACACACGGTTGATTAATTAACTAAGCCTGGCTACAACGTAAGCAATCCCAACTATCACTAAACAAACTAAAACTACAATGCACTTCAGTAACATAATTATTTCGTGATAAACGCATAACTAAAAGCAGACAAATCATTCTTCCGTTGAATATCAATAAGCTTCTCCTTTGCTCTCATGCCTCATCAATGCCAGCTGTTCGAACTGCACGTATGTAACATAATCTTCATCCTACTACCAACCATCGCATCCATTGCCCTCCCACTGAAATTAAAGCCAAAAAATATTTAGTCAAAAATATTCAAGAAAAGCAGGTCAATTAGCCATAATAATCAAATGCGTAAGAAACTCACATCGCGATCCGGGCACTTGTAGAAAACACGACCCTTGTTGGGTCCCTGTCTCTTGACTCGGTACTCCATCACAATCTTCGCATTTACACTTTGCATGAGATAATGAGAGGGAGTTCGGCCTCGATCGTTCCAAGAACCGAACGAGAGGCCGAGGATCCGAGTACCGATTGTCATCTACTTTCTATACTTATTTTTGCAAACCATGTAAATTTCACATTTTCTAAAATAATATATTTAAACAAAACTAAAATTATTTATTTATCTTACTAAACCATGAAATATGTACTATATATAATAGTAAAATACCAAACTATCAAGTGATTTTACTATTGTAAATCATCATGTGATTTTGTGCTAAAAATGACATAGAAATCACATAGCTCAAAAACATGTTTCAATAAATAACCATCCGTACTAGTGGACCTTGCTTACGTGATCATCTCGGCGAGCATTTCTCCACCCGGACGGCACCGTGAGTTTTGGTCAAGGAAGAGCTCCGATTCTACAAGGAAGGAACACGGTCTTCCACGACCGTTGCCAGCTCCCTCAGAGAATCAAAGCTCCTCCTTGATGTCCGTTACCGCTTCGGCAGAGAAAATGCTCGCCGAGATGATCACGATCCGCAAGTTTAACTAGTACGGATTTTCTATAATTTTCTAACTATTTTCTAAGTTTTTCATTTCATGGAAAAATTAATTCTAAGATCACGTAAGCCGTCGGGGACGAGGATGGGCGTGCTCCAATGAGGACGAAGCGAGGCGTGATTTTGATGAACTAATTTAACTTTTGTTTATCCAAACATATATGCAAATCATCATGTGATTTTGAGCTAAAAATGACATATAAAATCATAATAAAGTCCAACATATAAAGTTACATATGCATCTACATCGCAAAATGAGATAAGCTACTTGATAAAACATAAGAGGATTAAGTTTGTTACCTCCAAAATCGAAGAGCAACACCAATGGAGGGGGGAGAGAGCAAGAACAACAAAAAGTCAAGAACGAGGCAAAGTGAGTTTGAATGGAATGGCTCGGGCTCGGGAGGAAGAAATGAGCGTGTATAGGCCGACATAATTAGTCCCTGGTTAGGTGGCCAAACCGTGACTAAAGATTAATATTTATTCTAGAGGTATCACCCAAACCGGGACTAAAACCTTTAGTCCCGGTGGTAATCCTAACCGGGACTAAAGGTTTACCTTTAGTCGGTTGGTAGCTAATATGACAGCTGGACTAAAGATCCCCGCCACGCGGATGACCATTGGGCAGGGACCTTTAGTCCCGGTTGGTATTACAAACCAGGACTAAAGGGTCCTTTAGTCCCGGCGACAAAAAATACTGAGGCTAATGCCAAATTGGGACATCGTTCTAAAGTCTGTTCTCTAGTAGTGTGCCCCCTGCGTCCTCGAACTCAAACATGTAGTTCCCCCTCGGCAGGTCCAGCGTTGCACCCTCAAAGTGCAACACCAGCTTTGGCACGTCGGGTTTAGCTCACCGCGGCACCGAGAAGCAGAGCTGCGAGAGCGACGACGACGTCGCGTTGTCCACGGGCAGCCTCACCTGAGCCGTGAACGCGTCGTGCATGAGCTTGTACGCGTCCTGGGGCAGCGTTGTCATGCCAGTGCCAGAGTCGATGATCGTGCCGCCCGTCCCCAATCTGCCGGTAGCCATAACGCCGACTTCGGAATCGGCAAACCTCGTTGAGAAGACGGTTATGCCCTTTAGTGACAGGTAGTATGCTCTCAGAGACGAAGGGGAGTTCTAGACCAGAGGAGTGGATTGGACTTCACCACTGGCATCACAGTAAAGGTTGGCCGGAAGGCCGAGCAGGACAGAGCTGGGCTTCGACCCTGTTATGGCGGTGAAACAATGGGAAAAGTTGTCCACTTTGAGCTGCGACGGCAGGGACAACGCGCCGCGCCCGAAGCCGGCGATACCGATCTCGTTGGACGTGGAAATCTCGTTGTTGAAGAGACCGCAGCCGAAGGCCAGGTCCAGAACGGTGGCCTGCCCGGTGCCATCGGTGGCCGTGAACGTGAAGGTGTCGGCGTCGAGGTGGCCGGTGGTTATGGAGTCGTCGGCGTATGCGTAGACGTAGACACAGGTTCGGTTTCCCCAGTTGTGCTTGCCGCAGGACGACCAGGTGAGGTTGTCACACATGGGAGAGTTGCAGGGGAGCACGCCGAACGTGGAGGAGTTGGACAGGTCCAACGGTCCAAGCGCCCGGCTAAAGCAGACGGGGCATGGTCGGCACTACGTCCAGACGAGGTCGCTCCCAGTGTCGAGGATGAGCTGACGTCGAGCAAGGCGGCGATGGCGATGGCAAGGTGCACCAGTACTCCGTGTCGGGGACGCCATTGGTGTAAGGTCCTAGGTCTCACGCTGGGCGCTTGTGGCGCGCTACCGAGGCCGAGAGCAGCCCAAGCACGGCGCGGGCCTAGCTGCAGCAAGACATGACCACGCGGCAAAGCAACTTCATGGCGGGTGAGGGTCATGCCACCGTCCGCGTGGTGGGCGGCTTGATAGACTATTTTAAGGATCCGTAGGTGTAAATCCAGTGGGTGTTTAACTTAAATGAAATGAACTTGCTCATCGTTACCTAGAGTGAGTCCTGTCCGAGTCCCCTCGCGTCGGTGTAGGAGTTGCAGTGGCACCGACGACGACGATGTTGGAGGCGAGGTGCTGGTGGTGGCACTTCCTACCACCGGCAAGACCGCCTCTTGATCGGTTAGCGTTAGGGTTTTTTTCAGAGGAGGGTTGCGGTGGCTCGGGGGAACCTTGTCTTTGTGTGCCCTGACCCCACCTCCATTTTAGGGTCTTTGTCTTGACGGGGCCCACCAACCATGGAGCGGTTGGGGCCTCGATCGAGCGATGGATCCAAGGGCCCAATTAGCCATTGTGCCAATTGGTGGAGATCAAATTAACATTCTCCCCCTTATCTCACCTTATTCCTTAAACTTAACTTACTTTATCTTGTTCTCATTCCATCACATATCAGTGCATAGAGCGTGCCTCATCATCACGGTCTATTTCCATTAGATTAAACAGCTACAACGTACCTCTCTGTTTTAAAACAGATAGTCAACTAGGCTCTTAGTATTCAGAAATCATAGGCTTTCCCATAAACCCATATCGACTGTGTGTTCTCTGAACGCACTGGGTGGTTAGCCTTTGGTAAGCGGATCCGCAAGTACTTACTCGGTACTTACGTGCTCAATGCTTTCAAAATGATTCTGAATTTTCTCCTTTACTACATGTACCTTATATCAATGTGTTTGGCAGCACACTTCACTTGTTGTATTAGGAGTTAACTTATTTTAAATGGTTATTGCTGTTGTCTACCATTGTTAAATCCGGGTACATATTATCTTAACCTCTTTTACCTGTTCCTTAAGCCTCATGACAAGCTATACTATGGTATGCATCACTAATGACACCACAAATGTTTCTTTGGAGCTTTTTCACAATAATACTCTAACTGCGAGTGTTAGCAACTGTTGTGGACTTCACTACACATCTCGCCAAGACTTAACTTTTGTACCCTGAACTATTTGAGAGTTCTTATTCTTTCTTACTCAGCATGAGGCCTATAATACTTTTCAAAAATGTAAGACATTCTCAACTCAATTCCAGTGATCTATATCTGAACTGGACTTCTACCAAAATATCTCGGATACATAAACTATGTCAGGGTAAGTTCTTACTTGTACTTGTACATATATCAAGCTTCCAACAGTTGAAGCATATGAAACCATATTCTTTTTATCGATCTCATATTGGTTCCTAGAACACTTAAAGTTTTCAAAACTATTACCCTTGACTATAGGAGCAGACATAGGTTTACTCGCATGCATACTTTACTTCTTTAGAACCTTTTCTAAGTATGCATTTACGATAGTCCTAATACCCTATTTTTTTCTATCTCGGTGAATTTTGATTCCTAGAACCAACGATACTTCACCAAGATCATTCACATTGAAACTTGGGGACAAAACTTCTTCTTCTCCAATGACAAATTAACATCACTACTAGTGAGTAGAATGTCATCTATTCACAGGATATGGAAAATAAATTTTCCATTCTTGAACTTCGTATGAACGCTATTGTTCTTCTCATTTTCTTTAAAAACCCAAACTTTCTTATCATTGTTTCATCAACTTAAAATACTACTGTATAGAGACTTACTTTTGACCCATAAATGTATTTCTACAGGCGACATCCCATATGTTCTTTTCTTCCATGATAAAAAAACCTTTTGGGTTATGTCATGTAAACGTTTTCATATAAATCCCCGTTTAGGAATACCGTCTTTACATTTATCTGATGTATTTCTAAATCGTAATGTGCCATGAACACCATTATGATTCTAAAAGAGTCCTTGCATTAGACTAGAGAGAAAACTCTCATTGTAATCTTTTCATTCTCTTTGCGTAAAGCATATTGCTATAAGTCGTGCTTTATATCTTTCTACATTCCCTTTGGAGTCACAATTTGTCTTGTAGACCCATTAACAGCCTACTATTTTGGCTCTATTAGGAATTACTTCTAAGTCCCAAACATCGTTGGTACTCATCGAATACATTTCAACTTTATATCTTTTTGCCATTTAAACGAGTAAACGCTTCTCATGACTTCTTCAAATGAGGTGGGATCATCCTCCATTTGAATTTCTTTACTAACATAAACTTCATAGTCATCAGAAAACTGGTTTACTAATTCTTTGAGACCTTCTGGGGCCTCAGCTACTAGCACTTTCATATGGGGCTGTTGTTGCTCTTCATTACCAAGAGACAATTGATTCTACAGGCTCCTGTATAACAAGATCCTCATTATTCATCTTCTTCGAAGAGCTAACAACAGGTGTTGTATTGGTCATACAACATCAACAGGTATTAAGAAACTTGTTGCTCCTGAGTCACTGGAGTGGGCACGCAGTCCCTCTTCTCTTTAAATCTTAGGTCTCTACATACCTCTATATACCTGCTCCCCCAGATCTTCCCATCTTTTCTAAAGATAGTATTTCTTCAAATATCTTATTTTGGGTTTAATCCGTTAAAATTTCATATGGCGCTTTAAGCACCACCTTAACATATTTCAGACTGACTACGCTATTTTCCTGTCGGAACTTTAAAAAGTCCAGAAATTTAGCTATTTCACTGCTTAGGGGTATTATTGTTGTAACCGTTATACTCCTCCGACGGTCACATTCATCTTAATTAATATTTATCTCACTCTTAATGAAGAGTATCTTTCTTAATTGATCTTTATATTTTTCTTCCCCTCGAAATATGGCATGAACTTTTCTGCCATAATTTCGATAACTATTCAGAAAACCTGTAAACGAGGAGACACTTTTAACTTACTTCATTCACATGATTATATCATGTAAACAAAGTTATTTCTTGATTCGTTTAGGAGCACACTTTCCCTAATTCACTTTAAGAACTCAACGAGGTCTTTCATTAGCAGTACTTTTGCAAGTCACGCTTGCATCTTCTTCTTATCCTTTGATTAGTATTGACCATGACGATGCATTTTTATTGTGCCATGGTCAATACTGGGACAACATAAGAGCTACCCAAACTTCTCTCGCTATGTGGGATACAAACATGTGAATCATAACAAAACTTCTCCTGTCATGCAGGATTGATTAGTATAAGTACTATACCAAAACTTCTCCCCATACGGGATACATCTATACGAAAACTTAGTCATAACGACTAAAACATTCATTTATACTTTATTTTTCAATTAAATCTTTCCGTTGGTTTCAATTTAATCAGAAAATTAGTAAACTAACAAAAATATGTCCTGAACTGGTTTGACTCACGCCTTTTCATTCACATACCCCAGCATTGCAGCCCGTTGGCATGCAGCCGAGTGATCTCGTCGGTTAAAATAAAACATACAATATGCTTCTGCATCAATTCTACATCACCGTTAGGCAAAAAATAGAATTAATGCATAAATCTCATAAATTAACTTGAAATCCATATAACTGCTCTTCAAAATTAAACTATCCCGTTGATTCAAATTTAATTGAAAGATAATCATCTTCATTGCAGCGGAAACATGTTAATAAAATACATTCTATTAGTTCAGGAGCATTTCTTGGTCCTTATCTACTCTCTGAAAAATTGACCATGTTGGTGTGAAATTTATCAGAGATTTAAACCTCAAACTTAAACTCATTATAATATTGTTATCATCAACGTTGGTCAGAAAATAACAATACCATAATTTAATAATAAACAAAAACGGACTACTCTAATTAAATTTTCCCGTCGGTTCCAATTTAATTAGAGGATCAACATAATCATAATTTACTAAATATAACTGCTCTTCAAATTAAATTCTCCCGTTGGTTCAAATTTAATTGGAAGATAATAAACATTAAACTTTGAAGTGGAAACTTAAACTTAATTTGTGAATTTTATCCACTGGGAAATTCTCTTTACTAATTTTCTTTGAGCCATTAATCATTTTCCAGGAAATAACAATTTACTGGAAAAAAGGAAAAATAGACTCAAATCAATATTGTTTCTTCGGCCCGACCAAGAAAGCGGCCCGGCCTACCTACTTGCTGCTACTCCCTCCTGTGCCGCAACTTTGGGCTGGGCCGAGAAAGCTTTCGTTAGCTTGCGCCTTCATCAGGCGACCTCCGACCAGTAATTTCGCACCGTCGATGCAGATCGGACGGCTGAGCACGCGCATCGGAGGATCAAAACCACGACGGCGCCGTCCCCCGGAAAACCCTAGCCATTTCTTCTATCGCCCTCTCTCACGCAGAAGCGTGGCGGGTGTGGCCATGGTGGTCGTCGGCACCGATGAGGAAGATTGCCACCGGACCAAGTCCGCTCCCCTTCCTCCTCTTCCTTTCTCTTCCCTTTCCCCTTCTCTTCCTCGGTAGCAGCTTGATCAGAGGCGACCACGACGCGACAAGCTGACCCATGGTGGCGGAGAGAAGGAAGGTGGCGCGGCATCATGCGGGGCCCCGCCGGCTGGCGTTCACCCAAATTTGGCGTGTCGCCGTCGAAGCTGGCCTTGTGGTCGCGCGCTTGACCCTCAAGCTCGAGGCGAGGCCACGCAGATGGCGTGACTCCCTGGCCTACGCGGCTTGGGTGGTTCTTCCCACGTGACATCGTGAGCAACGGCGCGGT